TAGTTTAGAATGGCCCTTTTCTTTTCCATAAAGCCATGTTCAATCACTAGTTTCCTTCTATTTCTCAGGAATGTTAGAGAACTCAACACTTGGTGAGAAGGCAAAAAGTAAAGAGACGGTGTGTTGTAATGAAAATATTCTTCCATCCAAGGAGCCACAAGTTATTAACAGTGCCTGATGGATCTCTGCTTCATTAGAGATGACTAATGTGCCATCTAAAATATAACCCATTTTTCAAAAACAGCAGGAAAAATTAAAGCACATATGATGAATAAAATAAAAAAGAAATATTTTTTTCCCAATCTCATTACTCCCTACATCTACCTCCACCCTATTTTTCTTCAATCTAGAAAGATTGTCCCAAGGGTTTGCCTGAGTTGACCCTTTATCTAATTTCACATCTGTGTTGTATACACACTTATTCCAACTTCTTCTAATGTTTTGCTCTGAAAATAGGATATTTGTGATAAATAAAACTAAAATAAAAGAAAGATAATGTTTACATGTAAGATGGGGTGCTATTTTATCAATGGCCTGGCTTCAGCTGATGGGTAGAAAAAGAATAGTGCCTATGTGGGTGAACGTGTGTTTTACTAAATTTGGAAAGCTTTAGGTTCAGGGGTCTTAAATTCCTTTTTTTTTTTTTTTTAAGTAGCAAGAGCTGTTTGTACCATTGGGGAGAAAGATTGGTAGCAATGTTCAGAATAGATGTTTTTTTTCTCATGTGCTTTAAAGTTTCTGTATTTTGTACTTGGAAAATCAGTAGGCTTATTGCTTGCATTTGGACATAAAATATTACTTTCAGGTGTGCATCATTGATCTCTATTGGAATAATTATAATATTTTATAATTATAATATGTATATATATATGTACATATGTATATATACTGGGACCAAATTTCATAATGTCTCTAGGCCCCCAAGACTAATTTTGTGTGATTGCAAACTTTTGTCATATTGTACTCTTGGTTTACTTTTGTAAAGTTTGTTTTTAACAGTACTTAAGTCTAACATTTACTTACCACTATTTATTTGCCAATGCATATTCACTAATTTCAACTCCCTCCCACCACACTCCCCCCAAGTGGCAGGAAGAAAGGAAGCAAGTTCCTAAACCTTCTATTAATCTTGTGTTAGGTGAATCTGTAAACAAAGTTAGCAAATCTAGAATGAAGTCAGATCTAGAACCTTGCTTTCTAAAGTCTCCTTTTTCATCAGCAAAGACTAGCAGTGACCTCTCCTCCCCTGGACCCCCCAGCTGGGTTTCTTGGAAGATTGGAGAAGGCATAGTTTCCTCAGGCAGAGAAAAGCCCAGTTTAAATGGACCATCACTTCTCCTTCCTTCCTCACCCTGGGAAGACTGCTACCATTCTTCTTGCTACCTGCTGAATTCTCACAGCAGATGCCTGGGCATCAACTGCTGAATGCAGGTCAGGGGCTCCCCCACCTAGAGCTGTGGTGGCCCCTGCTCTGTCTCCTGTGGGCTGCAGTAGCCTTGGAAAGGGCTGCTTGCTACTGTCTGCCCTCAAAAAAACAACTTCTTAGGTGGTCTTATGCAGCTTGAAAATATGAAGAGCTGAGTTCTATGTAAATGCATGCCCAGCTTAATGCTGTACAGCTATGTCTCAATGTTTTGCTTAGTTGATCTTTTCTTTGTACTTAAGGAGATGATGAAGTACATTTCAGGAAGATGCTTCTAGGCTTTTCCTGTATGCTCAGAGTGGTAACTAGTCCAGAGTCTTGGATTTGGTAGACAGGGCCCCAGGATGCCTCTCAGACCCTTGTCACTTGATGAGGGAACCTTGCACTTCAGTGGCCAATAAAATGTGGGATTCTACTGTGTACAATTCTAAGGGGCACCTATTTTTGCAGGGTACTGTTATGGTTAACTCAGGAGGGGATAAATAAAGGATTTGGCCATTTTGGGTAAATGCACAAGTGGGTGATTAATTCAGTTATCTGCTTTGGCAGGGTAAGTGTAGGGATGGTCTCTAAATGGATAATGGCTACTAGACTTCCCTCCTGGGAACTCCTGATACCAAGGCTCTAGCCTCTGCTATTCCCATGAATCTCCTAAAACATAACTTTCCTGGACATTCTTATACTTCTTTTCTAGGAACCGTTGCTAGATTTAAACAGAGAGCCTGGCAAGTCCACCTCTAAGTGGACCTTCCTATGTGCTTATATGTAGGTCTATACAGTATTGTGAATAGCCATTGTCTATATGTAGGTAGGTCAACAGGTAGGTAGGACATCAATCAAGTCACTTGTTTTTAGAGTGAGCCTGTTTCATAGGATATCTAAAACAAATGGTTAGGGTCAGAAAGTTGATGGATGCCTTGGAAGTTAATTGAATAATAGTACTACCATTTAACTGCCAATTCTAGCTAAGAATTTACGTGTATTCAAAAATTGTCAAGTATTAACAACATTCATTCATTCACTCATTCATTTATTCTTTCATTCAAAAATATTTAATAAATGCCATGTGGGACCAGGACAAGAAAGTAAGGCTTAGTCCTAGGCCTCATTGAGCTGCAGGGAGGCAAAGAGACAGGTAAAGAAATAATTGCAGTCCCTCTAGATAAGTGCTATAATGGAAGCAGGCTTATTTATAAACCATGAAAGATCAAGTCCAGCAAAGGAATTAAGGGTTTGCCAGAGACAGGCTCCTAAATATCAGTAGGCTCAGTCATGTCATATATTTCATGGTTTGGATTGACATGTAGAAATCTGGAAACAACTATGCTGATTTAGCAAGCAGGGGAGGATTTGTAAATAAAGTCCATGACTCTCTGTGATTTTTTGATTTTTGAATGGTAGTCTTTTTTACTGAAGACATCTACCTGAAGTAGATGAGTGCTGACTGTTTTGACTTCCCAGTAATCTCCAACTTTTCTTTTTAGACCAGGAAACAATAACAAACATGCTATTTAGTACAGAATAGTTTCATCTTTAGCAGAAATAAAATTGCAAATGAAATATCTTTCATGCTCATGTAATTTGACCATTCTTAATACCTTAAACTGTTCAGTAAGTTCAATAAGGAAATATGGAAAAGAAACACATGGGAAATAATCCTGGAATATCAAATATACAGGTTTTGATTGAAACATGTTCTCAGGACAGGTATGGAGAGGATGGGAATTTATGGGAAATCAGAGGGGTCTTTGTCTTAGGCCTGTTCCCTTCTGTGAGGACTGAGACTGGAGTTTGTGATTCCTTATATAGGTGTACTATGGGAAATTTATGTGAAAGCACTGTGTAAACTGTGAAACATTTTACCACTGTAAGGCAGGATTATTGTCATTACTTGAAAGTTCCACCTTAGTGCCTGGAAAAGTTAATGTGCCTCTGGAGAGCAAGTAAAGCAATGAAAAAAGTCTAGTTTATTCTGTAACATCTTTTTCCTAATTAGGTAAAGAATCCTCCAAAAGCAATGTTGGTGAGTTTTCAGATTCAGTTTTGAAATTTGTGCATTTCAAGATATTCTGTTTACCCAGTTTAACAAACATAAATGTATCCATATGACTTTTATTTACTCCTAAAACTTGAAATTATGAAATCACTTCTTGGTAAAATTTGAAAAACACAGTACTTCAATACGGATGCTCAATATCGTAAGAATATGAGTCTTATATTGTTCAAGAAGCATCACTTTTGTGTGGGAAAAGGATGAGGCATATGTTTTGCATCTATGATAATTGTGAGAAAAATGAATGTGAGAATTATTCCAGTATTCCAAAATTACTTTTCAAATGAGCTATGCTTTGAATATTTTACAAGTATTTATGTAAGCAAATCTATGTTCATTATAAAATATAAAATATTTATATGAAATATAAAGCTGTAAGACACTATTCATTTGAAATCTTTCGTTTTACAGATGAGGAAACTGAGATTCTTAGAGCCTATGTAATTTATATGAGACCATTTAGCTCTTTAGTAACAAGAGTCAGAACCAGAATTCAGATCCCTTGAATTCTACTATTATGGGTTTCCTACTATGCTGGCATTTAGAAATTCAAATATCTTCACAATAAGTGATACTAAAGTTAAACAACTACCTGTTCTCTGTTGTGCAGTTTCATCTTGGATAATATTAAGATTGTATCTTTTTTGCTTAAAATTATATGTATATTTAATGCATATTTACATTTGTGCGCTGGAGTTTATGTGAGACTGGTAGAATGATTTTTCAGCTGTCAAGCCTAAGTACGAAAACCTTAGAGTATATTTGGGTTTTCTCATATGAGCATGAACATGAAAATTAATTCTGAAAGTTAGAAAATTAGAATGGGCAGCTAGATGGCCAAATTATCAATTTTTTTTGAAAATAGTTAAATGTAGAATGTATCTTGCATACTACATTTATTGGCCATGCTTTAAAGTTTCCTCCAAACCCATTCTTCCTGAAGGTGTTGAGTCTCTGAAGGTGCAGAATTGATCAACCGTGAAACTGTGACCTAATGTAAACTTGCTAAGAAATAGTCTAATAATATCCGTGCCCTGAGGGTAAAACACTCAACCCTAGTGTTCTCTCTTTCATCCTTGTTCAGACTACAATCATATTTCTTTGTTAGTATTTCCTCTTTGCATTGTGGGACAATTGACATTGATAGATAGCAGGGAGAAACTGAATTCAAAAAGCAAAAAGAACAGGGGGAGAGGAAAAAAAAAAAAAGCTCTGTACTGCTGTCTCAGAAATAATGTATGTGGAAAGCTCTTTAGCTGCCCTCCCTCATCTCTCTTTTTTTTCCTCTTGGGCTGCAGCTGCTGACAGCAGGCACAACTGAGCTATAATTTGGCCACATTTGGCTCATGTAAATTGTGATAAACAGTGAGCCCATAATATTTATTTTAAAGATTCATTCAATGAAGGTAAGCGTTCTTGACTTGTGTATACATGCTAGTCAATGGAAAGCTGCAGATGAACAGAACAGCTCTTAATTTCATACTCCACAATTAATACGGCTGCTTGATGCTCTGTGTTTCACAGGTGCAGGGGCGTTGGAGCCCTTTGAAGAAGTGTGGAGCTAATAGCCCATATATAATTCAGAAGAAGAAGTCTTCAATGGAAGACCCCCGGGGGATAAATGGACAGTCTGTAAGTAAACAGAATGTCAGTCCTAAGGAAAGAATTATTACTTTTAAAATCGTAATGACTATTTTTGTTGTAACCTGAGCGTCTGGAAATTTCTCAAAAGCACTTTACCAATTTTTAATGATTTTAAACTTTACGAATTAAGTAGTGCACTGTTTCATCAGCCTAACCTAATTTCTATCTTTTCTTAGAGGTATCAGTTATCAAAAGGAGAGACATAGAGGAAAAAGCCAACCTTTCGTATTATGTAATTACACCAATATGCATAACATAATTTTAGGGCTTCCATGTTCCCTGGCCTCAGGGAAAACATATTTGTCTCACGAAACTTGAAATTAATGTCTACATTTGACTTACCTTGTATTTGTTTTATGAACGTATGTGGATATGAGTTAAAAATGTGTGGTTTATTGTAAAGTTTCACGGTTTGATGAACTCTTTTTTTTTTTTTTAATTTTTTTTTATTGGTTGTTCAAAACATTATAAAGCTCTTGAAGATGAACTCTTGAATGGACTCTTGAGTCAAGAAACCTGTAGTTTATATATTTTTTTTTTGTTTATCTTGAGAGCAGACAAGAAAGAATTCTGAAATTTTCCTCAAGTTCATATCAGAAAGAAAGGTTTTCTTTGATTCATAAATGACTATTTCTGATTAGAGGTGATCTCATAAGTAACTTCTGAGCTATTTAGAACTTGACCAATTCAGTGAATTTAATTTTTTAAAACCATTTTTTCAGTAAGTTAAAGTTATTTCTTTGGAAAATGTCTATATCAATATTTGGGGTGGCATGTGACTTTCCTTTTCAGATTCTCTGCTCAGATCTGATGCTTTCAGACAGAAGGTTTCCTAGCTTGGCTTTGTTCACAATAGAATTATCACAAGCCCAAAGGGTGATCTTTAGTAATGCTGTTGTGGTTCCTGTAAATGTGTGTTTTACAAGACCCATTGGTGTTCCGCAATAAGCAGTAACTGCTAATGGATGAGGATTTTAATCACAAATAGTCCAATGCTAGCATGGTAGCTTCACAGTCATAGTGTATGCAATTACTGAGGCTATTTTATGGATCCTCTAAGTCATCTTGTGAGATAATTCACATCAACCACTTTGAGATCACTTTGCGTAGTGTAGCTTATACCCTAAATAGAAAGAGCATCCTTAGCCCTTTTAGTTTGTTAGTTTGTATAAACTCCTGTGATGGCTCTGTGATATTTGATTTTATTATATTGAAAATTCTTTTGTAGTATATATAAAATAAATTAAAAATAAGCTCATGAATGACCTCATAGTTACTGCCACCTTCCACGTAACTTTACTTCTTAGAAATCAAGTTGATGTGTTGGAAAATCACCCACAAATTTAATAACATCTGCAAAGAAATGTTGCCAATATTTCTTCTGGTATTTCATATTTTGCCCATTATAATTTAAGAATGAAGAATTTAATATTTGAGAGTATTAAGCTAAAAATGTAAAGATTAAGAGAATTTACCTTGACATGTTTAGTGGGCCATTGCTTATCATTTACTTCTTTTAGTTTGTTTATGTGAGAATGAAGCAGATTTGCTCTTAAAAGGTAGGTGGCTGTCCTAGGGACACAAAACTCTTGAGCAATATTTCTTGAGAGCAAACACCATGTGGCATTGCTTGAAGAAGCTGTTTCCTGGAGATTTGGCTCCTGCCCGCTCAACCACATACAGCAGCCATCTCTTCAGAGGTCACTGTGTGGAGGCCTCCGGTGGGCTCTTTAGGACTCCATCCTTCACCTGGCAGGTTTTTTCTTTCCCATAGGAATGTGGGGGAAAGAGACTCAAGATGAGAAGAGTACCTGGAACTTAGCTAAAAACTTTAAGGTGACTCAGGAAAAAAGGATCCAATGTTTTTTGGACTAGTACCCAAAGTGCTTATGTTTCCAAACATGATCAAGTTTGCCCTTGCTCCTCACATTCGTCTTTCAAGGCTATTTCTTATAAAATGTCTCAACTATACAGAGTGAACACAAGAATATGTTGCACCTTGATACATTAACAGCACCTCTGTTAAACTATTGAAAGGCACAAATCTTAACTGTTCAGTTTTGACAAGTGGATATAACCATGTAACCTGAACCCTATCTCAAGGAGCACCCGCATCATCCCAGAAAGTCCTCTTGTGCCCTTTCTGACTCCGTGTCCCTGCAGTGCCCACTCTGGCACACGGGCAAGTATGGTTCCAATCCCTTTCACCTTTGATCAGTTTTTCCTGTTGTTCAAAATAATCATAGACACTGAGTCCTCATTCTGTGTCTTCTTTTGTTTCTGGCTTCTTTCATATAGTGTTATATCTTCGAGATTGATCAATGTTGCTGCAGATATCAAGAGATTGTTCTTTTCTATCGATGAGTAGTGTCCATCATAATGTATTCTTTAAAAAAATATTAAATATATTCTAAGCACTTCTCTGAGAAACTTCGATTTTTGCATCTGTAAAATGAGGAGAGTGAAATCTGTGTAACCTAATTAGTGTCCTTTCCAGCTTTACTGTTTGATGACTCTTCCTTTCTTGCTCACGGAGTTACACCTGCTGATGGTTCTGGATTGTACCTCATTTAGTGAGACTTAACACTTGCTTCTCTGGGCTTATTCTTGAGAGTAATGCTTTGATTTTTCTCATCAGGAAGATGATTTTTTTTTTTAAAAAAAGAATGCATCTGGGAAGGTTTTTCAACACAATGACAGTTTGTAAAACACCTGCAGTGTTCAACATGTGCTATAGTATGACTCTCCATGGCCTCTGGTAGGGGTCTTTCTCAAGTCTGTGTGTGTGTGTGTGTTTTCCTCTGCTCTGTAGGTAGACATGTGATGATATGGGGAGGGGGCAGTGATGCCCCTCATGTTTCCTCTGACTAGGAGGCTAGTGAGAGTGCCATCAGTGTTTAGCCCCATGACAGCTGGTTTCAAGGGAGATGAAGATGGCAATTGTGGAAGCCCTTAAATGACGGTGTGCTCATTTTTAATCTTGGGCTACTATAGATCAATATGAAAGTGGAAGCCAACATTTTTTTTCTGTGTGTGGGTGGAGGGTACTTGGGTTTGAACCCAGGGGTCTCTGTCATTGAGCTACATTCCTAGCCCTTTTTATCTTTGATTTTGAGACAGGGTCCTGCTAAATTGCTCAGGCTGACCCCAAACTTGTGATCCTCTTGAATAGCTGGAATTACAGGTGTGCATCACTGCACCCAGCTTGAAACTAACATTTTTAACGTGGTTCATAACATTTTAAGGAGAAAAAAATGGCTAAATAGGTGAACATTGAAAAGTGCCCTGATCCCATAAAGTAGCCCTGATCCCTAGCAGAGTTCTGGAAACATGTCTATTATATGTTCAGGGACCATGAACAGAAGTAAAGTAGCTTATTATTTTGATCCTAGTTAGACATAACACTGGGCCAAAATGTTAAATCAGAAATTCTGTCTGTCTTATTCTTGAATGTTCTGCTTATGTGTCTCCCACTTTGGGGAAGAGGAAATAACCCTTGCGATTTTCTATATTCTATCCTCTCCTCAATTGGCTTCATGAGGACATAGCACATAGTGTAGAAGAGGAGGTTGCGGGGACGTCACATCATATCTTTCATAGTTCATAGTGCCCCAGTTTGCCTCTCTGGGAGTGCCCACATGGATGACATTGTTTTGCTCTCCCAAAACAAGGCAGTAGATCCACTGAAATCTCAGTGGCTGTCCTGGTTGCAGGTGAACACCTCAGAGGCACAAACATCAAAGACCCAGGCTATGCTTGCATCTCTCAGTTTCTTTAGTTTCTAATAATTTCTAGAAGGAAATTGTGTCAACATAAAAAAGCATCTATGAGATCTTCAAAAAATAAGTGACAATTAAAAGTAAGTCACTGTATCTTCTTTTTGAAGTTGTAAGACCTGCAGTTTATAAACCCATGGCACAATAACCCAAACCTTGCGACCACATTAGATTTGGAGTCAGAAGACCTGGTTTCACTTTTTACCAATTGTATGACTTGGGACAGCATTATAAGTGTCAGTCTCATCAGCTCTAAGACAGAGATTATAATATTTGTCTTCTCTTATTTAAAATTACAATTTTGGAGTTCAAATGGGGGACCATTAAAAATTCTTTGAAGACTGAAAAGTGCAATATAATTTTAATGTACTTTTTTTTGGCGGGGGGGGCTTGTACCAGGGATTGAACTCAGGGGCACTCAACCACTGAGCCACATCCCCAGCCCAATTTTGTATTTTATTAGAGTCAGGGTCTCACTGAGTTGCTTAGTGCCTCACCATTGCTGAGGCTGACTTTGAACTCGCAATCCTCCTGTCTCAGCCTTCTGAGCTGCTGGGATTACAGGCATGTGCCATTACACCCAACCCTTTATTGCACTTTTTTTTTTATTAGTTGCTCCAGACAATACAATGATCTTGACATATCATACATTTGATTCAAATCGAGTAATGCACTTTTTATTGGAAACATCTCTTGAAAGTGTGGTCATGGATAAAAAATTATCTGACCACCTGCAAGTCTGCAATAAAAATTGAAAAAAACAACCACTATGCTTGTGCCAGGCATTACAAACACCAGTATTATATGTGCTTGATTATTGTATTTTCAGGTGGAACGTGGGAGAAATGGAAGAAATTAGATTCCAAGACATTAAAGGGAGCACTTTACCATAGTAGCAGATAGTTATTACTTTTTATCTCAAAAACTTGGAATGATGGTATTTTAGATCTTCTTGGAATAATGATACTTCAGGGCTTCATTGTATTTGCACAAGTCTGCCTCTTGAGTGTCTTTAAATTAATAAATGTGAAATGCTAATAACAGTTTCTTCTGAGATTCTGGTTTCACAAGAAAATCATTAAATGAAATGTGTATGTGTGTGTGTGTGTGTGTGTGTCATATTCCTATACATGGAGATTCTAGAAATAAACATGACTTTTTACCAAAAGGGAAAAAATTCAATAATTATTTTATTAACAGAAAGATGTACTT